GACAGAGAAGGTTAATAATCTATAATCCATAATAGACTCTTGTCAAAAATAATGTGAAAGCGTCAAGGATACAATAAAAATCGTTGTTTTAAATATTCCCAATATTTAGGTGTGTTAAAAGCTTCGAATTCATCACGTAATTTTTTTCTTCTCAAAATCATTCAAAATGTATTTTAGATTTATAGACTTTGCTATAAATGACATGTAAGTAGTAGCAGTAGCATAAATCTCTATAAATGCATAAAATATAACGGAATAAGGAAAAATGCTTTTACATTCAGTATTTATTCAAATACCTCTCAAAGGCTCACTAAAGAAAGGTAGAACAATCGTAGCTTCAACAACAGATAAAGTTTTAGTTTTTTATCCAACAATATTCCATGTTATTATTTTAACTTCGGATTGTTTGTTAATCTTGATAAAAGTCACCGGGCAGCATTTGTATTATTATTATTAGTTTTTTTTATCACAAAGGGCCATAGCAAATATTCATGATCTGTTCAAATTATCACAACAATTTTTACTTAAAGCCGAACATTTAAATATATGTAATTCAGTGTGAAATTTCGAATTATATATTATTGAAAAGCAAAATAGCGCTAAATAGAAAAATAATCGCATTTATCAGTTTTCTGTCCGCAGTAAAATATTTCGCCGAGTTGCATAATTCGCCGCGACAGTAGCAGTGCATTATTTTCGAACCCGCGAAGTTAGACAGAATTTCCGTGCATCCTTCCTTATATACCTCCTGCACCAAGTGCTCCTGCTCCCATTGCCTATTGCGAAACACCTGCCCAAACAGTATAATTATAGTTATTTCATAATTTATACATATAAATTTTGACTGCGAATTGACAATTCACCTGAGTTGTGTTTTTTTGTTGAGCACAACCTCTTGTGATCGTTTCTTGCTTTTGTCCATTTTGAAGGTGCAGCGTTGATATCGTCTTCAAACACATCGTCGAATATGGGCACTGGGCAACATAAAGTGCAGACTCCTCGAATTTGGAGCACAGTGGGGTAACAATTGTTGCATTGTCAACAAAATACTTCTCCACAGTGACTGAACACTTGTAACATTGTAAGACTTCTCTCTCTGAACATTTGGCTGTAAAATTTCAATTTTGTGAATATTTTTGAATTATTAATTATATACTAGATTAGGTAGCTCAAGTTGAAATAAGTGGTGCAATGTCATCTAAGTTTTTTATTATTATATATGAGTGTTGATTTACTATTTACGAACATTTCGCAATTGTAATCGACGCTGTAATTATTATTGATGATGCTCTCAGAAACGTGTTTAAAAGAAAATCTGTTATAAGACATGATATTCTTCCAATTAACTTTTTAAAATGCAAACTATTTGCTGTTTTGAATTCAATTTGTTCATATACGTCAACATTCGTATATGATTCGACCTTATGGCATTAAAATTCAATTTCTCTGGCGTTAAATATTCGACATTTCTTTGAAAGCGACGTTGCATTTTTATATTGATTTTGCGCAATTTAACATACATTATGCAAAATCAATATGTATATATAAATTTGCTTATGTGTATATTAACAGATAAGTCATTATATGGTCATCTGCTTCGTCCAATTTTTTAGCAGACACGCCCATTGAAAGGTTGCTTTAACTATACGAACGTCATTGATAACGTTCTAGAATCAACAATTCATTAATCAAATAGATTAATTTTATTTTGACTGCCCCTAAGAATGTATTAAGCGTATATACATGATATCACTTCATTGCCGAAAAGTTGTTGGTATAATCATAATAAATGAGCAAGAATGTTTCAGTCGGGCGTTTACGACTAGAGAATACTCTGGATCCGGAAAATTGTAATCGTTAATTGAACACGAATATGTTTTCCGAATTCCATGACTTCGTTGCACAAAACCAATATACTAATTTCACTTTCGTGAATGAGTATTATTATTAGGGGCGTAAACAATCAATAATTAGTTAGCATAATTTTCAGAAACCTTAGAAGTTTATAAATAGCTTCCATGGACGCCTTTAGTCAGATTTTTGAATCATGGCCGACAATTTGAATTCATATTGTTTACTTTTGCATGATTTGCTCTTATCTGCAATAACAACATTTTATAATACATTCAAATTTGTACATACAGAAAGTATTGAAATTCCATATACATATGTGTATATTACATTTTGTATACATTAATGCATAGAAAAACTTGTTGCTTTTGCATCGACAACGACTTTTGAGCTGTTTCGTTTTGCGCTCAATAATTGTATTCTTATCTTTATATGTTCGGTGTATGGACAGCTGCCATTTACTTCCATATTGTATATTGTATATTGTATATTGTATATTGTATATACATAAATGCTTTGTTTAATGTCCCATCATAATACAGACACACAAGATTTCTTTAAACCTTTTAATATTCATGCCCATCTGCCTTCCCAATTGAGACTTGAAATAAAGAACATTCATTCGTGTACACCGCTGTCCGCGTAGCAGATATAGATATGTAAATTATAGGGCTGTCTCCAGTGGGTGCGTGGCAAATGAGGAAATGCCCTATCATGCACAGTGATATAGCTGGAGTCATTAAATTAATTACATTTTGACCTACTCTAAAGAGCGGCTCCAAAGATTTATGTTATTTTTTAAATAGAAATGAGATATTTAGTTAAATCTGTTAAAGCACTCTCAGCGCGTATTCTGCAGTCAGTTACATCCGGTCCGTGTTGGTTCTTATTGTAAAGACATAAGCAAGCATATAACAAATTTTTCTGCACTACTACTTAAATTAATGTACGAGTTACGTATTCTATTATTTTAATACATTTATCTAAGTGGTACTTATTAATACCAAAAAATACCAACCTAACTCCAAAGCAACAGCAAGTAAAACAACGCATTGGAACAGGTGGTAAGCAAAGCCATTGTTGCGCGCCTTAACGTCCATGATTATAAATATTTAGTATATGGTTTTTAGTAGGTACGCTCTATTATATGTGGTGTGTTGTGACATAGATTTACATACATATGGTCTTCACATATGTATGTACGGTTGTGTATATATTAGTTTCTTTCAGTCTCCTTATACACATATGATTTAGTTTTGAAATGTCATTGTGCGTATTTATGTGTACATACATATGTATGTATTATGTTAGTATATGTATGTATATACATTAATACATACAAAGTTGATTATAATTTTCGCTTGCGATACATGGCCACACAAAATGTTGCCCCATTCATTCGTACATATACA